TACTCCTAAGTGGCTGCTGCTCTTACTCTACTACTACCACTCTACTGCTACACTTACTCTACTCTACTACTTTCTACTTACTACTACTACTTGCTACTTCTAGCTACTAACTGTTGGTGCTTTTTGCTTTTGCCAAATCTCCCAGACTCGCCAGACTTGTTGTCTGTATTTTTCCATTAGTCATTTTTGCACTATGTTTGTTAAGCGTGAGCTTGCTTTTTTTTTTTGCCAAATCTCCCTCTCCTCTCCTCTCCTTTGTTTTGCCGATGATGAAATTGTCCAAGTCCATACATTATATGGAATATGAGCTGATGATCAAGAACTTGTGAGGAACTTGGCATCATTAGCAGCCGCCCCTACATTACCTTGTCCTCTCTTCTCTGTTATGATGTTTTGATGATCCAAGTTCAAGATCAGATGATGATTGACATGTTTCTAAGGCCTCTACCACTGCTACTTCTCGTTTTTTATATTGTTGTTTTATAGGACTACTTTGGTTTATAGACCTTTTTGATTTCTTATACCTTCTCGCGTACCTAAAGCACACTTTCTTGCATCTTTTAGAACAAAGCACGAAATAATGTCGCGGACAACAGACCGTGCAGCTCGATGCCCCGAGCATGATGAGCAGCCAACCCTTGAGGAGCAAGCACTAGAGGACCAGCTTACTTAGGAACAGTTCGATAACGAGGTAGAAAAAGATCTAGAAGTGATGCTTACTCGGGAGGAGTGTGACGAGGAGGAAGGCCTCAAGGAGAGGTCAAGAAGGCGAAGAAGAAGAGGATGATGAGTCGAAAGAGGGATATGAAAGTCCCGAGGATCCTTTCCCACCAAGCAAGAAGGAGGCCAACGGAGGAAGATTTGGACAAGGATTTTGACCCGAACGAGGAGGTAGGGAAGAAGCCTTAGCTTGTAAATTTTGCTAAAGCTTTGGGTACGTGTTACCTCTGCTAACACTTTGACCTGTCCTATATACAGTCCCTCCTAAAACTCGTAAAAAGACGACGTCGGCGTCCACGACATCTCATTGGACAAGACGGAGTAGAGGAAAGGAGAGCAGAGGCAACAACCACGAGAGACGGATCACGATGCCTCTGCTCCCACAAACTCAAGACACAACCACGACTACCAAGCCTAAGAGGAAACGAGGGATAGAAAAGGAAATCTATATCCAGATAAGGCTTGCTATGTGATAACGGAGGTTGGGCCAAAGGGGAGATCCTTGAGCCAAGGAATTAAGAGGACGATTCCGTAATGCGATCGGGGCCCTAGTAAGAGATAAATTGAACCCAAAGAATCCCTAAGCTGGAAAGAGGTACCAGAGAACATAAAGAATGCACTATGGGATAGGCAATGAAGGTCAATTTTAGATTTCCTGAGGGTAAGCACGAATTGGTAAAAAAATGCTATCGTGGATGATGGGAGAGTCATTGCGACGTTGGAGGTCGGAGCTTAACACGAAGTATATCCAAAAGGGGTTAACTCCTTCAACGAGTTCGCAAAATAACTCCTAGTCAATGGGAGGAGCTCGTGGCTCGAAAGACTTCAATGGGAGGTATTGGAGCTCGAAGCTCGTAACACCGAAGCTAGCGAAGAGGAACAAACACCACCATCATCTAGGCCCCGGTGGCTACTATGCCAAGGAAGAGCAGGTTTAGAAAGATGGATGAAGAGGCCGCGATTCTTTGGGAATATCAATGTGAGAAAGTTGAAGGTACGCTCAAGGAACCGGATATATGCGAGAGTCTACAGAACCATCCGGCAAGAATCTTAAGTTTGATAAGCCGGAGACCCAAGAGGCGGTATCAAGGATACTTTGAAATATCTTTGAAGACAAAGAGAAGGGCTCATTCAATCCTTCCAGAGAGAGGGACGAGCTTAGCCTTGGCTTGGAAAACAAGGAGCACACAGCCGCACTGTGGGGCTAGGGAAAAGGATGACTTGGAAGCAAGGATTCAAGAGGACAGAGCACATGTACAAGAAACATGGCCGAGACCGGAGACTAGCCTTGAGCTCCAAGTGAAGGCTCTAGTTCTTGGCGCCTGAGGAGCAAGGAATGTCTATGGAGCCACGTATATTAGTGATGCCACCGGGAGAATCGGCATTAGTTGGCAGCCCTCCGAAAGTTCCTAGTAGCCAAGGTTCCACCGCAGCCACAACCTCGGTCGATCTCATACACGGGAACCTACTAGTTGCACCTTGGTGTTTCTCAAATGCCGCGAGAACAACTGTGATGGAGGTGGCAACGGTGTTGCACATCCTCCCGTGGCTTACACCACAATAATAACATACCGCCAGAGACTACACTAGGGTCGAGGTGCATACAGTGAAGCCCGAGTTCATGCAAAGGGAGGATAGACTACGCAACTCCCGAGGGGCTGGTGTTACTCGGAGACGTTATGGGGCGATTCATCCTCTGCACAAACGGGACATTATATTGATCGCTTCTTCGCCGCCTCCCCCTCTCCCAAATTTGGAGCGAGTTGTTGAGGTCGGGGAGATATTTTCACCGTCTCGTGACCCCCACATTCTCGAGATGCCACATTCTTCCCCGCCTCCTATCGAGCATGTGCACGATGAGATGCCACAACCTTCTCCAAATCGTGCAGGGCAAGTGCATCATGAGATGCCACGATCTTCTCAAACAAGCACAACCGATACATGAACAACGAAAAGCCTCTGAAGAAGGTGATGCACAAGAAGATGAGGACGTGCTCGAATGGGAACTCCGAAGAAGATTCCAATCCACATAAGGCCGCTTATGTTCCGATCAAAGACGCGTCTCGTCGGTGTCCAAGTGGTATTCCCATGATCAGTTCAAGCCTGAAAACCAAGTTAAAAAAGTCCCATCACGGGGTTCTGAGGAGGCCGTCAGTAGCAAACTTCACCAAATTGCAAAGCAACATCCAAATGTTGATGCCATCGAATGGTCAAAGGATTGCCCGAAAAAATATGAAAGAGGCAAGCCCTTCCTACCAAACCGGGACATCCAAATACTACCACTTGGAATGAGAAGGTTCCATGATTGGTACTTGCGTGTTCTCCCAACAAGCATAGATATCATACAAGCATGCTTTCCCACCGGCACATTTGGAAGCCCAAATGGAAAATTGTCTTTGACTTCAATGACATGCACACATGCTTTCACACGGAGAAATGGAGATGAATCTAATTCGCACGTGGTGCCTGTAAGTCCTTGTCCTCCCGATATGATATGAATGTAATCTTTGAATTTTGTTGTAACTAACCCACGCCGTGATTTGTAGAATGCAAGTGCACATTGTCAAACAAATGCCAAGTGTGAAAGCTGGGTATGTAGACCCTCAAGCTATAGCCCAAACAAATTTTAATTACCCTAAACGGTGGACCTTTGGATGCCAAAGAGCTAGCAACAAAAGACTCTTCGAGAAAAAGAAGCGCATCCGTAGTCTTGAAAGCTTAAGGGAAGAGTCCCTTAAGGTTGCGGCATACATTGCTCGCTTTCAAAAATCTCCAACAACACTCTACTATATGGCTACCATACAACTTCGAGTAAGTTCAACTATAACTTAAAGCTATGTTCGATATATTTTATTCGATGTAAAAGAGCTTATCTAGTTCTATGATTAAATCCATACAAAAACCAATTGGATTTGTATAGCCGTCGATGTCGGGAAGAGCATGGCATGGGTCTTTGATTCAATAGATAAGGACCCGGCAACGTACAAAGACTTCATATCGATTCTCAAGACGTATACATATCGACAATCCTCATTAGCTTATATGTTTGTATACATACTTGTAACGTTCATTTATGCATACTAACAAGTTGTATTTGCTAAAATAATTCGAACAGGGCATTTAGGTTCTATGTCTCTCATCATCACGGAAGGCATGATCCAAATGAGGAAGGAAAAGTCGGCTATAAAAACACTATATGTGCGGTAAGTGTAACTTACTTCTTGAAGACTCCGTTACATGGTACATCAAAAGCATTACCTAATATTTTCATATGCAAAACACACAGTGCCCCAAGCAGAGGTCTGGGAGTGTACATTATGGATACTATATATGTTCTATGATGAGTAACACCGATGCCTACAGGAGACACCCCTTAAGGGTAAGTTTGAACCTCTTCACCCGTAGTATAAAAACTTCATAAATGATATGAAATACTAAACTGAAACTTGTTTTCTTGTAGTGGAGAGAAGAGAAAGGAATGAAAAGAGACCCATACAAGGATGACCAACTCTTAGAGCTCGTCGGCGACCTTTGCAACTTCATATTGGACCAGATTGTACACGTCAGAGGCGCCTACCATGATCGAGAGTCTGAGTTAGGTACAAATCCTCAGTACCAACACCTTCGTGAGACTGAAAGGCTAGCTCTAGGACGTTGATAACAATGTGTATGAAATTTGTATATTTAATGATGGATTGTATATATATATATCATTACGAATTGGACTTGTAATTGTACTTTATATAATACTATTGTGCTTGTAGTCGCGTTCGGAACGTTGGTCGCGTGGCGTTCGGCAACGCGAACGCGGTTCGGAACGTTGGTCGCGTGGCGTTCGGCAACGCGAACGTGGATGCTGGATGGAATACGCAGAAACAAACAGTTCTGGTCGAATTTGAATTGTAAATTTGAATTTTTTTTGGCGGGAAAACGTACTGTAGGGGCGGTTCTAGATTGAACCGCCCCTACAAATAGGTATTATAGAGGCGGCTGGCACTACAGCCGCCCCTACAAATAGATTTGTAGGGGCGGTTGGTTCTTGAGCTGGCCCTACAAATAGATTTGTAGGGACGGTTCGTAATACCAGCCGCCCCTACAAATCTATTTGTAGGGACGGCTCAATCACCAACCGCCCCTATAAATCGATTTGTAGGGGCGACCTGGGAACCGCCCCTACAAATACATGATTTGTAGAGACGGTTCGGTAGAGGCGGCTGGCCAAACCGCCCCTACAAAAGGTTACCAGCCGCCCCTAAAAATGCTTTTTGTAGTAGTGGTTCATGCGGTGGGCAGATCTGGAGAAGTCGGAGCATCTCAAGGTCGACCGCTTCACAATCCGGTGCGATATCACGATTGCCAACAAGCTCTACAAGGAGCGGCGGAGAGCTGCGTATGGGTTGGTTAAGGTGCCACCATCCGATCTGCACCAGCATCTCGGCGAGCTCCTCGCGTCCAAGCAAGGCGCAGATGTTACGTTCCATGTTGGCGGCGAGACGTTCAGAGCGCACAGGTATATTCTCGCGTCCCGGTCGCCGGTCTTCCAGGCAGAGCTCCTTGGCCCGATGAGAGAAAGCCATGCTGCGGCTGTCGTCGAGATACAAGACATGGAGGCGCAAGTGTTTCAAGCCCTGCTAGAGTTCGTGTACACCGATGCCTTGCCTCAGGACATGACGCGGGAGGAGGACGCTGTGATCTGTCAGCATCTACTTGTTGTGGCGGACAGGTACAGCATGGACAGGCTGAAGCTGGTATGCGAGGACCGGCTTTGCAGGCATATCAACGTGGCCTCCGTGGCTATCATATTGGCTTTGGCCGAGCAGCACCGGTGTCATGGCCTCAAGGAGGCATGCCTCCAGTTCCTTGTGTCCCCGGCTGTTCTCAATGCAGTCGCAGCAGCCGAAGGCTTTGATCATTTGGCTAATACCTGCCCTTCTGTTTTGAAAGATTTAATCTTTAAGCTCACCGACTGTCGTCTCGATATCTGGGGGAAAACAGGTTAGTTGATCAGAAAGGCAAACTCGCTAGAAGCAAACTGTAAAGTTCAGGCAATGTGTTTTTTTTCTTCTGTTTGTTAATTGTAGAGTGCGTAAAACTTTTCTTCGGTATAAGAAGTTGCATGGATGGATGTTTTTTCACGTAGCTGTGGTCAGATCGTCAGGAAGCACGGCATTATATTGCCTCCACAAGTTCTGCCTGTATTATTTCGTCTTTGAAAATCTCTCAAAGATCTCAAGTCAGCTACTGCTAGCTATTGCTAATGATTTTTTCCTCTCTAACACATCATTTGTGTAATGGTCCCATTCCACCTGTCAGTCAATAAGCACCTAGCACCAACGGTTTGGCAAGTCGAAGCATATCCAGGAGTTCTACGTGGTGAAGAGAGCTAGTCATCTCTTTTGATCACCTTCCGATTATTAGAATCTAGATTGTCAATGAGATTATAACAATCAAGATTGTTTAGATCACACTAGTACACAAATCTTTTCCGTGGCGGTCAAAAACAGTTAACTGAGGCGGGCATTCCAAACACATATGAGCAAAGGTCACAGTTAATCAAAGAACAACTGAGGCGGTCATATTGCCCGCTTGGGTTAATGAATTAAAAAAACAAAAAAAGGCAGCGAGCCCGTCAATGAGGCCCGTTGAGCCCATCAACGAGCCCGCCGAGCCCATCCGCGCTTGCGCCGCCGCCGCCTGCTGGATTCGGCCGTGCGCCACCACCGCTCGCTGGATCTGGATGTCCCGTGCCGGATCCACCGCTTCCATGCCGGATCTGGGCCGTGGCGCCCATGCTCGAGGCCGTGGACGCCGTAGCCGCCGGACTGCGAGCATGCCGCCCCCTCCGCCGCCAAGGAGAGGCCCCTCCGGCCCCCGCCGGATCTGGACGTGAACGCCACCGGAGAGTTGCGCCCCTTGCTCGAGGACGTAGCCGCCGAACTGTGAGTGCGCCGCCGGAAAGCCGCCCCTGCCGGATATGAACGCGCCCTCCGCCGCCGAGGAGCAAGGTTGGCCCCCCTGGGGCGCGCCACCGGAGAGGCCCCTTCGGCCCCTGTCGACGAAATATGGTCGGCAGTCTACCCAGAGGTATGCCCAAGGTAGTAGATTGTCGGCAGACAGATGCGCAAGCCACAAACAAGATGGTGACGCAAGACACACGAGGTTTTATCCAGGTTCGGCCGCCGAGAAGGCGTAATACCTACGTCCTGCGTCTGATTGTATTGCTGTATGTCAATGAGAGATGTTTTTTAGAGAGGTCCCCTGCCCGCCTTATATAGTCCGAGGGGCAGGGTTACAGATCTGGAAACTAATCCTAGTCAGTTACAATTGCCATAGGTGACCGGATAAGGATTCCTATTCTAACCGACTGAGATCTTGCTTGATCACCAAATCTGTCTTGACTCCTTCCGCGGGACTCCGAACAGGTTGGCCGGGCCGCTGTCAGCCTTTTGTGGACCGGACCCACCGATCCGGCCGGACCAATCTTAGCCGTAAGGGTATAGGGGTTAATACCCCACAGCTAGTCCCCGAGCAAAGATGTGTTTTGTTTGCGACACGCCACTTTAACCTTCTCCGAATAGTAAAGCTTGAGTTTTGATATTTCGACCACCGTTATTTGCCGGAGAAGTAGGTTGTCCAAGAATGTATGGTGCTCTTAAGAAAAAGAAAAGATTTCCATCCTATGACGTGTGCCCACTTGTATTTCTCGAAAAGAAATGTAAGTGGATCTGAGGCGTAGCATCCTTGATCATCGAGGCGTAAGGGTCAAAAACAAAACACATTCATCGCAAGGTGAAGTGTGCCCACTTAGTCCCCGAGCCCGGTAGTAGGTGACGAGGCACGTGGTGCCGTGGTCTAAAAAAAAATTCCCGCTTAAGTTGAAAACCCAATCGTTATATGCAGTAAATACGAGATGCACCGGCAGGTGCATCGTACCGATGTAGTCCCCGAGCTTGCTGGAAGGCGAAGTACAAACCTTGTAGCAAGGTCTAAATAAATGTCTCTCAACTGTATATGAGTACAAATCACATGTAGCCGAGGAGAACAATCTCCGAAAGCGATGGGTCGGGACAGCTCGAGCACATTGGTGGTCAAGCATCCTCGAGCACGGTAGTGGTATGTGCAATCCCCGAGCACGACAAAAGGGTCTAGGCGATCCTCGAGCACGGCAGCGGGTCTCATGCGATCCCGAAACACGGCAGCAGCGGGGTCTAGGCAATCCCGAAGCACGGCAGCGGGTCTAGGCAATCCCGAGCACGGCAGCAGTGGTCTGCAGGCGATCCTCGAGCACGGTAGTGGTCATGTAATAGTCCCCGAGCACGACAGTGGTCTAGGCAAATTCCCCAGCACAGCGGTGGTCTAGGCGATCCCGAGCACGCAGCGATGGTCTAGGCGATCCCCAAGCACGGCAAAGGGTCTAGGCGATCCCGAAACGCACGGCAGTGGTCTAGGCGATCCCCGAATGGCATGGCAATGGTGCGCGCGGTCCCAAGCACGGCAGTGGTCTGGACCATACTTGAGCACAAGACATGTAGTGAAAAAATGAACGCCGCTTGTACTATTATTTGGTGTATTTATTTATCTTCTTACTCTGTCAAGTCCAATCGTACACGTCTGGTCAAAAAAGCAGACAGGTACAACACGTCATACTGTCTTCTTGCCCTTTCTAGCAAACAGTCGTTTGACACATGTAAAGAGGTGCGTCAGTGTGGGCCCTCTCACACTAGCAACGAAGAGGCGCGTACACTGGTAACGAAGGGGAGCATTTATTGGCGTAGATCTCGAGGTTGTGAAAACAACCGTATGCAGCGCGCGCGCACATCTCCCAAGAATCTCGGGCGAATGAAACGATGGAAATCTTGGTTATTTATAATATAGAACTGGTAAGTTATTTTTTACCAACCCCATTATCATTCGCCGCAATGCCTTCTTCTTCTTCCTCTTGCCAAACCCTATTCCTCCAAATCATCGCCCATCACCCCTCCACCGTACCCCTTTTAGCAAGGACAGATTAATGGCGAAGAAAAACACCCAGAAGAAAGCCAGAGTCATGGCGAAGGAGTGGTGGAAGTCAAGGAGCAATGATCAGACCATCGAAGACCTTGTCACCATGGGGTGCTCCATAACAAGGCACTCGTGGGATGGCGCGCGTCTTAAGGAGAAAGCTACCCGATCCACAACCAGTGAGATTGTGGTTTTCGAGGATTTCTTCAAGCGAGGTTTTGGGGTTCCAAAGCACCCTTTCCTCCGTGGGCTCTGTTTGTACTACGAGATTGGGATTTGCAATCTGCATCCCAACTCGATTCTTCTTGTCTCCACCTTCATCCATCTTTATGCGAAGCATATGGTGGCTTCCACCCCATTTCACCCTCTTTCGCCATCTGCTCATCTCATGGAAGAAAGGGAGCGGTGGCTTGAAGATAGCCGGAGGCGATATCTCAATCTGCTGCTGACGGGATGAAAGCCCAAGATTGCATTGCCCTTGGAACACATCGCTAGACGAATGGTACAAGAAGTGGTTCTACGTCCATGAAGAGCCGAACATGATCACCCTGTGCGACGTGGGGTTCATTCCGGAGAAGAAAAATAGCTGGTCGGAGAAGCCCGAGCACTTGGAACAGGTTGCAGAACTGCTCGGGATGATCCCATGGGGGAAGCTGGATGGTCCAAGCGTGGTCGAAACTTCATCACCAAGGATCCACCCTACCAGAAGAGGGTACATCCCGTTACGAATACCGTGGAAGCGCAGATCCAACGAGGACTGTAAAAGAGGCGCTTGACAAAATCGAAGTCAAGGCCGTGATTGGGGAGCTATTCAACTTAGCGATCCCAATTATGTCGGGTTAAACGACATCGAGCACAACTTCAAGCCGGCTCGACCTCCCCAAAGGTAAATTATGCTTCCTTGTACCAGAGAGTTATGTTGTAACAAAATTGACCGTGTTGTCGCCTTTATGTTTCCCGCAGAGTAATGGTCATGACAGGCATCGGTGTTCGTGTCTCCACCCCCTGGTGTGGATTGGCCGCAGGTTGCCGGCCCAACCCCCTGACCATGCGGGGCGAAGACGCCGATCGGGCCGTACTTGGGGATGGAGAGGAGGCAACGGCCAGGGCTGCTAGAAAGCGGCCGGTGGCCAACAAACGTCGTAAGGCCATCTTCCCTCTGTCGGATGATGAAACAGAGGATGCGACATCTTCCGACTCGTCCCTCGAAAGAGGAGGAGACAATCGGAGTTGATTTGCGGGGTGGCTCCTCGTGTCGCCGAGGATCGCATCACCGACCACTGCAACATAGATGACAAGCGGCAAAGGGGTCGAGCACCAGGCCCCGACAACGGTACTGGTTGCGGAAAAAGACCCAGTGGAACCCGCCGAGCACGTGGAGCAAGTACGGTCGAAGAGACGCTCCTTCGCCACGTCATTCCGTGCTTCCGAGCTGTAAGTATTTGCAACCTTGATGTAAGCTTACAATTTGTATTGAATACTATTGTTTTCTGAACTTATCTCTGATATATTAGGTCGGCGTCCACCGAAAATCCCGACCAGCTGACCGGGTGCGACATGGCTTCACCAGCAATGACGGAAAGAACTGCCCAGCAGCCGGATGTGGCGGAACCTATAGAAGAAAATCCACCAGAACCTCAGCAGATGAGCGGCCAGACGACAGTCCTCGAGCAGCTAGTCGAGGAGAGAGCCGAGCCAAGTACTAGTGCTCCGAGCACTACCCCTGCTGAGGGGGATACCTCGGCGCCAAGGGGACCGGACCAAGCCGAGGAGCAACAGCCGGAGGTGGCAAAAAGCATGCTTGCCGATGCTACGGCTCGTGGGAAAGCCATAGTGGTCGCAGAGACTACGAACTCCAGACCAGCGCCGCCTCCTGAACAAGAGGCCAAAGAGGACGAAGTAGAAGAGATCCTAGGCCATCCCCAAGACAAACGACAACATGTATATGTGTCGCGCCAGTGGAACAACGAGTGGGTTATGCATGAGGAAATCCTAGAGG